ATGGTAGACCATCATTAGCTGAATAGACTACCATGTATGGTGGTACACCATCATTAGATAGCTGAATAGACTACCATGTATGGTACACCATCATTAGATAGCTGAATAGACTAATATGTATGGTACACCATCATTAGATAGCTGAATAGACTAATATGTATGGTACACCATCATTAAACAGCTGAATAGACCACCATGTATGGTACACCATCATTAGATAGCTGAATAGACTACCATGTATGGTACACCATCATTAGATAGCTGAATAGACCACCATGTATGGTACACAGTCATTAGATAGCTGAATAGACTACCATGTATCATATACCATCATTAGATAGCTGAATAGACTACCATGTATGGTAGACCATCATTAGATAGCTGAATAGACTACCATGTATGGTACACCATCATTAAATAGCTGAATAGACTACAATGTATGGTAGACCATCATTAGATAGCTGAATAGACTACCATGTATGGTACACCATCATTAAACAGCTGAATAGACCACCATGTATGGTACACTGTCATTAGATAGCTGAATAGACTACCATGTATGGTACACCATCATAAGATAGCTGAATAGACTACCATGTATGGTACACAGTCATTAGATAGCTGAATAGACTACCATGTATGGTACACCATCATAAGATAGCTGAATAGACTACCATGTATGGTACACCATCATAAGAAAGCTGAATAGAATAATATGTATGGTACACCATCATTAAATAGCTGAATAGACTACCATGTATGGTACACCATCATTAGATAGATGAATAGACTACCATGTATGGTACACCATCATTAGATAGCTGAATAGACCACCGTGTATGGTACATAGTCATTAGGTAGCTGAATAGACTACCATGTATCGTAGACCATCATTAGATAGCTGAATGGACCACCATGTATGGTATATCATCATTAAACAGCTGAATAGACCACCATGTATGGTACACGGTCATTAGATAGCTGAATAGACTACCATGTATGGTACACCATCATAAGATAGCTGAATAGACTACCATGTATGGTACACAGTCATTAGATAGCTGAATAGACTACCATGTATGGTACACCATCATAAGATAGCTGAATAGACTACCATGTATGGTACACAGTCATTAGATAGCTGAATAGACTACCATGTATGGTACACCATCATAAGATA